TTTTTTTTTTTTTTTTTTTGTTTTCTTGTGGTTTGCTAATGTTTGGTAAAGTCTGGTTGTTGATTTTAAATAAGCAATTGGGATTATTTTAAATTGAAGGGGGTGGTGAATCTCAAGGACTTGTGTGAGGAGTTTAAATATGAACAAATTTAAGGGCCACAAAAATATATAGAGAAGGAAAGGAACACGCTTTGAATCTGGATCGATAGATATTGATTGCTTGATCTGTCTTATATAGGAAGAAGCAAGTGCGATGGATTTTGTATCTGATGAATATAATTAATATAAGCTATTTAAGATAGATATTTCCACGACCAACAGCTGTGATCTATGAGTCCCATTGTTTAAGAGTACATCTAGATTTATGAAACGAAGATGTATCAATCATATATATCAAACCCAAACACTAGTACTAGCATTTGATAAAATGTGGGTGATTGAAAATTTGGTTCAATAGGTATTTGAAAACTGCTTCGTTTATAGGTATAAAATGGAATTGAGTTATCTAACTTATTATAATTATTTACACCAAAAATGTGGTGGAAGGATTCAAACATTCACTTTCAATATAGTTCAAGTGGCTACTAGCTAGTCAATTGAATTAATCCCAATAACTATTTGAAATTTTGAATCCTAAAATTTGAAATTACAGTTAAGGGTTCAAATTAATCTTTAGATTAGCTAAGTGCTAACCTTTTCCTTTGCATAAAAACATTCACGTTGATAAAAAACAGTGATGACAATGCCTGCCTACTTGCTAATGTATTTCTCCTTCTTGGTAAGAATTCATTGTAAATGTAGTATTGCAATCATCAATTTCTCATTTGATCCCTTAATTTAATTTGACAGTACTAATTAGCGATCCACATGTCATCGAAACAAAGAATTTAAGGCAAGGATGGAGATCTAGAGAAAAAGATGCAGTCAAAATGGAATTATTGAAGTACTAATACTAATAAAATGTGGTCATATGACCTAACATTGGGGTTGAAGACTTGTAGGCATGCAGTAAGAAAAAGAAAAAGGAATTGCAAATGGATGATGGTCAGTTAAAAAATTATGGTGTGGGTGTGAATGACACTCTGTTAAAAGCTCAGATCTCAAATTACCTTTAGACCGAAAACCAAAAGTCTTGGACTCTTGGGAGGGGGCCTCACTGCCTTTGCCCTTTTTTTTTTTTTTTTTTTGGGAAGGAAAAAAAAAATAACAACCAAAGCGTGGAAGAATATAGTCTTTGAAGTCAGCAAAGAAAACTGACATGAAGCATATGGGGGGGGGGGGGGGGGCTTATTTTTTTGGTTTTCTTATTTGAGCAGTGAAACTGCAAAAAGTTGGAAAAAGGTAAAATTCAAAGCAAAGAAAAGAAGCAAAAGGATTAGAAATTTGTGTACCTAAAGTCTCTTTAACACCACCACTTATTCTCAGCTTGAATGCAAGAACAAAGCATCCTAGGTTATTCATACCCTTCTCCAGTCCCTTTTTACCATCTTTAGTTTTTCTCTATATATATTATAAAAAGACTATTATATAATTTTAACTGTATTAGACTATATAATAAAGAACCCATCTATTATTAGTATAAAATTATTAAAAAAGTTATAGTACAATCTATGCACTTTTAACCATTAATAGAGGGATGGATCTCAAGTTTAAAAGACTCACCCCCTCTATCAATAATTAAGTGAAATGAAATATATGTATAAAACGAATTGTCTTTCACTTTTCTAGAATTATTATTGAGCTGAAATTTTTATTTGAGACCTCCTTTTGGGAGATATGTTCACAGAAGATTTCAATAAACTTAATACATATAAATTTTGGACATATATGGACCTTTCAATAAACTTAATACATATAAATTTTGGACATATATGTACCTTTAAACTTAAAAGATTAACATATTTAATTCATGATCTTCACGTCTATATTTTATTATTTCTCATTATATCTTTCTTAATTTCTTTTTTAATTTTTTTGGTACGTCTGTATCTTTCTAATATAGTATTCCACCACATTCAACATTTTTTATCATACCGTATTCCACATGCATGCAATAAAATTGTGTCTAAGCCTAGTAACATATGCACGAGATAAAATACTGGAGGGAGAAAAAAAATGAGGTGTTTTGAAAGTTAGATGAGATAAGAGCAAGTTGAATCAATATTCTTCGCGCGCAACGAGAGATAAAAAATGGTTCGTTAAACTTAGAAGCACCTAGTCGAGGGGCATCTGTTTATGTGGGGAGATGTTTTCTTGATCTCCACAGCTTGTTATTTGACCTCCAACATGATGAACCCTTTTACCATATAGTTTTTATCAACACCATTACCGAGATATATGATAGCATTTACCGACGACTTAATTAATGACCAACATATATAATTGTGAGTGTGGATTAAGGTCATTAATCACAGTTATTAGTCTCCAAATACTAGTCGACTTGGTAAACTTGTAGTCTTATTGACCTAATTAAGCATGATTAACGAAAGCATCCAAATCTTGTGGGGATTACTGAAAATGAGAGATCAGGGAAAATCTGTACTTTTATATTAATTTTACACTTAAAAAACACTGCAAATAGTAAAAGTGAAAGAAAATATTAACGTACCAAAATAAAAAAGGTGAAAGAAAAGCAAAAGGACGTCTCTCTTTTTGTGAAATTTGTGATGCCTTTGCACCATTTAAAGAGGACAACCCTTTAAACTTTCCACATGCTGGATTATTGGCTGATTTTTCACAGAAAATTTTGTCTTAATGTGTTGATTCACCGAATGCAATGCCCTACTTTTTGTTTATTGGGGAATTTAGATTAATTTTTTTCTACAAAAATGAATTAAGACTAAATAAATATATATAATACTAGTATTAATTATGCAGGTAAATTATTAAGTTGTTTTTTTTTTGGGACGAGGGTACGAATATATGTCAAAGTAATTAATATGGTAGGCACCAAATACCAAGTTTATTACAAGGGCTTTTTTAATCTGTGCTTTTATGATATAAATTAGATAAATTTTTATGACAATAATCTTGAAAGGAAAATAAGAAAACAAAAAAGTGAAAAAAAATTAAAAGGGGTATGATCGAATTAATAGTTAGATCTTCAACTAATTTAATTGTTTAGACTTGTTACTTGAGTCAACAATGAAATGTTAATTATCAAAAAATAAAAAGAAAATCAATGAAATGGTACATGGTGTGGCTGGTGGCACACCCTGATTTGAAATGGTGTAATCTCCTCCGCACTCTAAACATTTAACCTTCTAAAAAGGCAAAGCACAATGCATGCAAGACTTAAAACGCATGATTTAAAATTGTGAAACTTGAACCTCTCCCACTATAATAGAGATGTCGCTATCAAGATTCCTAAGTTTAATTAGAAGATAAGAAATGATGTATTTGGTACAAGTTTGAAACATGAAACTCTTATATAGAAATTATGTATTTAATAACATATAAAAATTATAAATAAAATTATCAATTATGTGATTTAATATTAAAACTTACAAATTTACGATTCAATTTTTTATATCTATATAAAAAAATTGTAAAAAAAAATTACTCATATATAAATAGGTTATTTATATATCATTAATAATTTTTTTGATATACCGAATAGTGATATATATATAAAGATGTATTTTTGATATGATGGCAATAAAAGTTTTCATCTAAATATATAATTGGAAAGTGACCCAGGGAAGGAAAATTAAATGAGAAGAATGGAATATATGCTGCCCTTTATCTGCAGCCAATCTCATTTTCCTGCTAAATTCATTTGATACTTTCTTTTTCTTAATTTATTTTCTTTGTTAATTGGCAGTGGCAGGTTACAGAGAGCAAAGTAATCTTTCTTTTTTTTTCTTCTTCTTCTTATTCTTCTTCCTTAGCAGATTACCAAAGTACAATTCTAATTTCTACTAAAAAAACTACTCCGAGTGATAATTACAAATAAAACAATGAAATACAAACCATTATCACTAATAAAAACAACTATCCAAATCGAAATATCAATACCTATTTGGTTTGAGGATCACAAAGGAAGAGGGATCGATGGGGAAGTGAACTTATTTTGATTAATTAAATTAAATTATTGGGCTAATAAAATAATGATTAAATAATTTAGTCCTTAAAATTTTAATTTCAAACTTTTTTAATCCCTGAACTATAAAATATATATATATTTTTTAATTTTTTTTATTAGTTTATTTGTTAAATTTGTATGTATATATATATACGTTTTAGTCTTTGAATTTACAAGTTTAATTTTAGTCTTTGAATTTACAAGTTTAGTGACTAAGAATTTGCATTTATTATAAATTTAGAAACTAAAAATATATACATTTAGATAAATAGAATGGACTAACTAATAAATAGATAAAACATGTGTATTTTTAAAGTTAGAGGACAACAAAAGTGTAAAAAAAAAAGTTAAAGGATGGAATTTTTTCAAAATTTAAAACTAAAAGATTAAAATTAATATTTAATTTAAAATAATTTAATTGATTATAATAATTTTTACTCCCTTTCCATTCCCTCGTACCATACAAGCTATTTTGAAATTAGTCATGTTAAAAGATACCTATATTTATTCCTAAAAGAAATTTTATAATTAAGCAATTAGTTTTTCAAAAACCTAGGAAAATAAAAATTAGATTCATAGCTCTCCTTTCATGGTAGTTTTTTACATATTAGATTTCCATTCCATCTGTTCAATCAAAAACTAACTAAAACAAATTTAGTAAATTTTCCCAATATAAGAAAACATAAATAACAATTTTAGTAATATTTTAGGAATTAGTGTAGTATAGATCATCCACACAAATCTTTTTTTAGAGAACATATTTAAAAATTTACATTTCAATTAATATTTTTAATGATCAACTGTTAAATTAAAAATTTTATGTATATAAATTATATATACTAATTTTTATATTGATTTAGTAAAAGTGTATTTTTAAACTTTAAAAAAGGTAGAAGATTTAACTCTTATTGAG